GTATATTTTTGTGGGAATGGAAAGATAAATGAAAGAAGGCGGATATATCCATTTAACATACAGTATGTATGTATGTATGTTTCTTATAACATTGTTCTGTGTGTCAAAATGAAAGACAGACACACCTATCAATCATCAAACCGTGGGGTCTTATTTCATTACGTATTGATTTCTATCAACACGTAATGTCATTACGTGTTGATAGAAATCAATACGTAATGAAATAAGACCCCACGGTTTGATGATTGATAGGTGTGTCTGTCTTTCATTTTGACACACAGAACAATGTTATAATAAACATACATACATACATACTGTATGTTAAATGGATATATCCGCCTTCTTTCATTTATCTTTCCATTCCCACAATAATATACATAAAGAAATGGCATATTTTGGACATAGTTCGAATGGTGATTAATCATGATTAATTAATTTTGAAGCTATGATTAATCTGATTAACATTTTTAATCGTTTGACAGCCCTACTATAATCATAATAGCAATAACAGCGCAATTGTTATAATGTCTATGTATAGTGAATAGCAGTAAAATAATAAAGTGTGAACGCCAGAAAAAAAAAGTATCCCATAACTCTAACCAAGGGGGAGATTGGGTGGATGTGAGTTTGAAATCAGCAGCAATTTTCAGAAAGTCCTTGAAATGGGTTGTTGAGGGAAAATTGTAAAGTTTTACAGCCTCAAAGCTCTTTGTAGCTCCCTATAGTCAGTGGCGGCAGCAATAATTGGATTTGTAGCGGCCTCATGAAGGAAAGTTCTGTACGAGGTGAGACAACACCACATTGTTAGATGGCTAGTAGGCCGTATTACACCTTGCCCACAGTATAACCTGTATTTTCCCCCTTTATACACAGAGGGAAACAAGTGGAGTGGGAGTGAAGTCTAAAACATACAATATAGAGGATAAATATCTGACCTGTGACATGTCTTCTCATTGACCGCTTGAAGTATTGTCTGGCACTCAAGAAATTCTCACGTTGTAATTTGGCTTTAACATCCACACACTATGCGTGCCACCCTCATACAGTGAGAAAGTCCCTTCAAGGAGCACTTATGGAAATAAAGGGCCTCTTTTCTCGGCCGCTGCCATGTAAGGACACAGTGTTGTCTCAGTGTTCAGGGTATTCCCAGGATCCAGAAGCATTACACAACATTTCCTTTCAATCAAAGTCAAAACCAATAAAGTAGAGCTCTGAGTAACCTTAATGAGATTTCAAATTCTCTATACGTCAAACTTAATGGAAGCGATTCAGCGAGTTGTGTGTGGTGCCACACCCAGTCAATATATTGAACATTACAACACAGACTGAGAAGAGAAAGAGAGGATTATAAATAAGCTTATGGGGCGTACACAATATAATGGCTGCCTGAGTCAGTGAGCCCCACACCCATTTTGCAGACTTTCTTCTTCTCCCGCTTCATTTCTGTTTCTTTCTCTACAGTCCCATGTGGATTTAGCCTTGCACCTCCCAGCTCCACCCCACCTACCATGCAGACTCAGGCCTTTCATGGGTGCCAAGGCATTTACACGTTCATCTCAGCTCATGAATAATGAACAGGCCCTCATCAATTAGTAAAGAGCTCTTGTGGCTCTGCAGAGCTGGGGAGAAAACATACTTAATTACACTCATATTTCAGAATTGGGTGAAAACTAATTTGAGTTTGGTATTTATGAATAAAAGATGGTGCGCAACGAACAGCGGGTGGTGATGTAGGAACAAGGTCCTTAAATATTTACTAAACACAGTCTTAGCTCAAGTTCACTAAACAGATTATGTTAAGTGCCCGGGGACAGGTGGCTCTGTCCAAGTGCGCACACTCACACGCAAACGCACACGCATACACACACACACACACACACACACTCTCTCTCAAACACAGACACAGACAACACACACACACAAACACACACACACACACACACACACACACACACACACACACACACACACACACACACACACACACACACACACACCATACAAAATTATGCAAATACTCCACTGTAAAGGTTGTGCATTTCAGTTTAAAATCAAACAAATGTACTTTTAGCAACAAACATAATAGGACTTAATATTCAGCAGTATGGCCCCTGTTGAACTTATGTTATTGAAGAATTATAATATATTTGTATTCAATTTAATAATGCATAAAATCGTAACAAACATTTACATTCTGTTGTTAATTGAGGTGGAGCCAGGTTAAAGTATTTCAGACTGTTGGGTTGTTTAATCTTTTACAAGGCATCACATTTTCAGTTTATAAAATCTGAATCCTAAATAGCATGTAAAATGTAGTGGAGTAAAAACATAACTCATAATATTAAAATAACTACATTTTGACATAAAAACTAATATACACTTATGCAGAAGTGTCCTCCAGAAGCACTTGTCTCTTTCTAATGATCTTGTTGTCCCTCCTTCTAATAAATACAAAGGCATCGACAAAACAATGACAGAAGAGTAAATTCAGTCGGAAATTGTACTTTTCCTTTGAAGTGTGCGTATGTTTGAGCAGTCCGACTATGTGTGACTTAATAACGTGTATGCACTTAAAGCAGTAGCCAGGAGAGGGCATTTAGTCTGAGCCGCAGAGTGTGTGATCAGCGCAGCGCGACGCAGCGTCTGTCCTGCCGTCACACTCCAGCGGCTCCGCAGCGTGTGTCTCTCATTACCATCTCTGCTCTGGGAGCCACGCACACACTCACGCACACAAAGAACAGCACTGATACACACAAAACATTTATTGAACATCTAAATATTAATTTGACTTTCTTTGGGGGGGAAAAAAGCAATTAAGGCCCTAAACGTGTTTTTTTTTCTGTTCCTCTCTCCCTACTTTGATTCAATCGAGGGATCATTTATCTTGTGAAAATAAGTGTCATCCGCTCCCCTCTCATTAGTGTAGAGGAGCAAATATGAGGGATGGGAAAGAGAGAGAGGGATTGAAGGAAATGAGGGAAAAAGGGGAGGATTTGAGTGAGAAATATGGATACATGGAGGGGGAAGGGAGAGGGCGGGGGTGGGGATTTGGTCAGTGGAAATAGAGATGGGGGTTAGATGGCCTTGTCTTTCAAAGTCCACAATCTGCTGTCAGAAAAAGCCAGGCTTTCGAGGAAAGGCAGAGTATGGTTCCACACACACAAACACACACACACAAACACACGCACACACACTGAGCCACATACGAGCTTTAACATGTATGCAGATGGACAGGCTGTCACTCAAAGAGCTCCCAAAAGGGCCTGGAGTGGGTAATTACCAAGCATGTCTTCCATGTTAGATTACATGTTGCTGTCGGCCATAAGCATCCCTCAGGAGCCAGTTTGACAGCTCCCTGCTAACCACACACACACACACACACACACACACACACACACACACACACACACACACACACACACACACACACACACACACACACACACACACACACACACACACACACACACACACACACACACACACACACGGGAACACTGACGGCTAATTTACCCTAAAGCTATATACAGTGAATGCGGTTAAATATGGTGAATGCAACCTTAAAGATATACACTGTATTTTGACTAGACAAACC